TTTTTGGCACTTTATCTATAAGCTGTCAGGAGGAGTCTGTGATAGGGCTTTGTTCTTTGGATGGGGCACCTCAGGGATCCCTTCTGAACAATGGGAGACCCTTATTTTGTCATTCTAAGACTGTTAAAACAGTTTAGGTCTTGTGGCTTGTCAGATTCTGCTACTTCAGTTTTAACGGATTCTGCTGCTTCTTCCTCACAAACTTGTGGGCATTTTCAAGAAGCTGCTTACCTTGCTGACAGCAAGTTATTTTATTTGAAATGCGAGGTGTTTTTTAAGTGCTGCCAGCCGTTTTACTCAATCTGTTGCAGAGCCTGGAGCAGCCCGTGACTGCTCTGGGCAGGAGGGTGTCCTGCCCATGCTTGGGGGAAAGGCTGAGGTAGAGCTTGCTCAGCAGAGCTCGGTGCATGCACATGCATGAGCACAGCACCCCAGTGGTGCAGGGAGGCTGTGGCCATGCAGCCAGCTGATCTGCTTATCTCCTGCCTCTGAGGCTGACTGCAAGAACCAAATTTTCTCTGTGTGTTGGAGGAACGACCTGCAGCATCCTCTGGGGTTGTGCTGGTGATGGGGAAGCTGCTTGTGCGAAGCCTGTGGCTGTTCCGGTGGTCCCTGCAAAGTATCTATTCCTTGCCATGCTGGAGCTCTCCTTCCTACTTCAGATTTCAGAGCTGTCCCAGGGAAGGCTGAGGCTGGAAGGCAGCTTGGAGGCGAGAGCTGAGGGCAGGAAGTGACTCACTGGTGCTGAAAGCAGGCGGGTGAATGTTTGATGCAACTCTGCTCCCATGGGTGCCCCATGCAAGCTGGGTCACTCTGAGCAAGCACTGGGACCTCTCCCCAGCTGCCTCAAGCTCTCCTCTAACAGCCCCAGGGATGCACCAGGTTCGCAGCAGTGCAGGTGGGTTTGGGAGCAGAGTGACAGGGTAGGCAATAGCATGAGTGTGGAGAAACCCCCAGGGAGCTATCCCCTACCCCCCAAGAACCTCAGCTGGCTTGGGGCCAGGGTGCACAGTGACCCTGTGCACATCCCCAGAAGTGGTGTCAGGAAATGTGCAATGAAAGCACTCCCAGCATAACGGAGGGGCTGGAGCTGCTCCTCAGAGCAAGCAGCTGGTTTGCCTTTTAGGGTCGGCACAGGCAGAAACAATTTCATGCAGATTCCAGGACCCATAATGGTTCTGGAAAGCGAGCAGGAACAAAAAGTGTTCTTCTCCTCTGCTGACCTTGGAGTGCTTTGAGGACTGTCTTTCAAAGCCATGTCCCTGGATGGTTTCATCCTTACATGGGGAATACTTGCCTCCAGTGAGGTCGTGCTTTCTTTTCTGTGTGTCTGTTTAGGTGTGAACTCAAAGTGCTTATATTTATGTTCAGACAGCCCTGAGGAGGTGAGAATAGGCAGGGACCTGACAGACAGTCAAAGGCAGGTCTTTTCCTGTGTCCTGGAAAGATTAAGTGTTTCCCTAGGAATAGCCCCATGGATTACTCTAGGGTCACTCTGTGGAGCAGCTGGTTGTGAGCTGACAACAAACTGGTGTGAAGTTACATGGGGTTACAGGTTCACCACACACAAGACTCTGCACCTAAGGAGTTCGTTGTAGGAGGAACCTCTCAAAAGGCCAGCTAAACTCTTTCAGTGATTGTGTGAATCAGGCCCTACTCTGTCTGTATTGCCTCCTTTGCATAACAAATCCCTGGTTTATTGGTGCTAAAATTAATGTAGTGATCTCCTGGGGCTGTTGCTAAGCTGGCTTTGGACAATGACACCAGGGTGGTGTTGGGTGCATGTTACTCTCTAATTAGAAAGTGGACTTTGCTGTGCTTCCTTGACAAATTGCTGACCTTTCCCATACATGAGGCTATTCTGAGCTCTGCTCCATACTGATCAGATTTGCATGGTGGAACACTTTGAATGTTGTTTGTGAGTGGAGCTCTTGTTCCTAAAGCTGTTTGTTCACGGGCACAGGAGAGGAACTGAACTTCCTTTGCTCCATGAGCACAGCTACATCTTTCAGAGGAAAAGAGGAGGCAGCTGGCAGGCATATATCTGTGTTTATTTTTGCCCTCCTACAGCTAGTGAGACAGCTGAGCAATATCCCACATCCAGCTCCACCATCAACCTGTACAAGGGACCTGCTTCAGCAAGCCTTGTCCCCCTGGACTGGAGCCATCTGGCAATGGACAAACACTATTTGCAACTGCAATCCCATCATTATAGGGCTACACCTTGGTTAGCATTTGAGGCGTTCCTGCCATCAGCCCAGCACACCCAGCACACAGCTGATGTTGACAGGGTGATGCAGACTGCAAAGGATGAGCACATGGTCCCTGGTGCAAGAGCAAGGGCCTATATTGTACCTTCCATGTCTGAGCCTCGATTAAAGGGGTTTTTAATGGGTTTTAAAACTCTATCTCTGTCCTTCATAAGGAAATGAATTCCCAGGCTCATCATTACAATCACAGTAAGAATTGTGGGCTTTTCTACTATTTCTTTTACTCCATTTCTTTTGCCCCACCTTCCTCTTCCCGGTGTGTTTGGTCTCACAGCACCACATCTCAGGGACGAAGATGCTGCGTTTGCTTTGGTACTGCCCAGGCTTCAACACCCCTGCCCAGCTCTGCATGTGAGAGCAGAACAAAGGGAGCAAACAGCTTATCTAACACAAATAACCCTGAGCAAACTTCCTGGGCCTGTTCTTGTTCTGTTGAAAAGGCAGCTCAAAGTCTGTTGCCGTGTGCAGTGGCTGCAGCCTTGGCCACGTAAGGCTCCTGGACCTGGCTGTGCTGCACGCCCAGCCTGGGGAGCACACTCAGCTGGCAGTGTGCAGCAGGGGTACACAGACTTTGGGGAGAATCCACTCCAAGTGGAGGCAAGCCTCGCCCAGTGCTTTAGGTTCCTCCTTGGTATATCATTCCTGGAGGGTTTGTTTTTCACTTCCTCTTCTGACAGCATCAGGGTCAGGGTAAAGGCTTATTCCTTGTCACTGGTAAAACCCCAGCCTTTTTCGTTCAGGTTGTTTTTTCTTCCTATGTGTTTTCTGATGTCCTCTGAGCCTGTATTGCTGGACCACAGAGCTAAAGGGCAGCCTGTTGAGAAGTATGGAAGTTCCCTGCTCTGGCAGTGCCTTAGCTCCCAGGCCAGGAGTGCTCATTAGAGGTCCTCTTATTACAGACACACCTTGGAAAGTTCCCTTCACCAGGCCTGGGAGGGGGAGGAGGAGAGTTGGAAATTTCATTTAATTCTTTGCCAGAGAAAAAGGTCCCAGGTAGCTTCAAGGAGCAAAGACAAGTGAGGTGGCAGAGAAGGCAGCAGTGGGTGAGAAGCAGCCAGGAGCTGTGGGGGGGTCAGGGGAGCTCCTGTCCTGTCATGGGAGCACCTTGGGGGTGTTCCAGAGGGGAGGGACACTGGGGGGGACCAGCACAAGCTGGAGCAGAGCTGGAACAGCAGGTCCAGTTCAGCACCTTGCAGCAAACCACCATGTGCCTGCCTTGTGTCCAGTAACAGACTGGACATTGCCTTGTTCTGCACTGCAGGCAGCACTCAGGGCTGCTGGTTGGAGCTCTGGGGGAGGCTTTTGGGAGCATTGGCACCAGCCTGTGTTGCTGGCAAGGACAAGCTGCTCCCGTGGCCACAGCCACACACGCTGGCCTGCTGCACTGGAGGGCACGGAGCGGGCAGTGGCCTGGGTGGCAGCTGGTAGCAAATGTCTGAAAAGGGACTTTGTTCCTCCTCGGTTGGTCACGTAGCCATGTGGGAGCACTGGATTTATTCTCCATCAGTCCTATCGGCACATACCAGGCTTGACAACAGCTGGGAGCTGTGTGGCTTGGCCAAGAATAGCCCTGGGGAGCTCTGGGCTGTGAGTCAGAGCTGTCTGGATCAGCTCCTGCCCTGGAGGCTGCCTCCCAACCTACAGCCGGCTGTGGGGAGAGGGTGCAGGAGCTAGTAGGGAGCTCCCTGACCATTAATGCTTAACTGCAGATTGAGCTGTAATTGCTCTTTGTTAAATGGGTGGGTTCGTGGAGGTGCTCTGCAGCTGACAGCTCCCATGTAACTCAGTGGGCTTGTCTACACTTGACAGCAACCTGGGTTAAAGTAGGGTGTGATTTTGCAAGTGGAAAACTCTGTGTTTAGTAATAATCAGGCTAAACTAAACAGGAGGAAGATACTCTTGTCCTGGAGTTAATGCTCCAAGGAAAGCAAAATAGTTCCACAAACCTGTTGTCTGTGAGGGAGATAAAGAGCAAGGAGAGATGTCAGGTCTCTTCATGTCAAACCCCAACAGGGTGCTTGTGGAGCACCCATCTTCCCCTATAGCTTCTCCCTGGAGAGCGTTTGTAGTTGAAGCAACACATGCAGAACAGTTCACTGGGATGAGATCCCACAGCCAAGGCACAGTACAGAATGCCTGATTCCTGCTTCCCTAGGGAGCAGCTGCTTTAAACCTCTGGAGAAGTTCCAGGGTTTGAGCTGCTAGCAGCCCCTCAGGCAGAGCTTTCAGCCATTGTAAGGAATCCTGCTACAGACCGTGCCAGGCTGAGCGTTGGTCTCTGAAGGGCAGCTGGACAGACAGATCTCCCTTAGGGTGCCTGGCTCTCAGATGTCACAGTGGACACACAACCACATGGCACGTGCGTGGTTTTAGTGCCAAACCAAAACTTTTCATGCAGGAAATTTCTCCCTTTTTATTTTACACTTCACTTCCCAGGAAGGTAGCGAAGAGTGAGGAGCTTAGCTGCATGCTGACATGTCCAGGTTTTCTGAGTGGTGCCAAAGTGCTCCAGCTGTGAACTGGAGTACAAGCCTGAAGCAAGGTTCACTGCAGGCTCTTAGGGAAGTGCATGCAGCCCCAAAGCAGGAGCACAGTGTGGGTCTGTCCCCTGTGCTGACAGCAGCTGTTGGCTCAGTGCAGGGACTCTGGAGGTAGCAGGGTTGCTCAGGGGCATCTCGGACAGCCTGAGCTGATACTGACCCACACCTGCCCTGATCTTTGCTTGTGAAGGAGGTGAAGGAGGGCCTCAGACCGGCACCATGACGGAGTGCTTCGACTGTGACAACTGCAAGGAGTCCCTGTATGGGCGCAAGTACATCCAGATGGACAATGGCCCCTACTGCATCCCCTGCTACGACGCGCACTTCGCCAACACCTGCGACGAGTGCAAGGAGCTGATCGGCCACGACTGCAGGGTGAGTAGAGGCTCTGCAGACAAGCAGGTCAGTCCCAGGGCCTTTGGTCCCCTCCTCATGCTGGCTGTACTCCCAGGAGCTGTACTATGAGGACCGCCATTACCACGAGCACTGCTTCCGTTGCTTCCGCTGCGACCGCTCTCTGGCTGATGAGCCCTTCACCTGCCAGGGCAAGGAGCTGCTGTGCAACGACTGCTACTGCAGCGAGTTCTCCTCCAAATGTATCGCTTGTGAGAAGACCGTCATGCCAGGTAGGAGCAGGCAGACTCGAGCGTTGCAGTTTGTTCCCGGTCCCTTGGTGTCAATTGGGGTGCAGGTCCAGCATGAGAGCAGCATGGGAGAGAGCTGGATCTGTTTTCCTGTCACTGCATGTAGAGGGCTGGGTCCTTTGCTTGTCCAGCAAGACAGCATGATCCTAAGCTGTGGTCACCACAGCAGCTCCATCTGTCTGTTCCCTTTTTTCATGGGGAAGTGAATGAGGGAGGAGATAACAAAGGGTTTCCTGGGCATTTTCTGCTGTGTGCTGACAAGAAGAGACAGAATGACTGAAGATGTATGAGTGTCTCTGGAGAAGGCCTGAGGCAAAGGTGTGTGTGCCTTTACTTGACTATTTTGGCACCATCTTCTGATGCAGGTTACGTCAGGCGTCTCTGCCATGGCCTTTGTGCCAGTGCTGGGGACATGTTCCTGCAGCCCTCCCCTTGTGGCTGTGCTGTGAGCCTGGGGCCCCCTCTCCAGATGCCCATGGTCCTGAACTGCCACGGGGAGGGGAAGCATAGAGCCGGGTGTGCAGGACCACAGTTCATCCTGCTCGGCCCCCCACATCCCTGTGTGCGTGTGTGCTGCTCCCTTCTGTCACTGCAGGGCTCTCTTTGCAGGCTCCCGTAAGCTGGAGTACAATGGACAGACCTGGCATGAGCATTGCTTCATATGCAGCAGCTGCCAGCAGCCCATAGGGTCACGGTCCTTCATCCCAGACAAGAAGGATTATTACTGTGTCCCCTGCTACGAGAGCAAGTTCGCTCCTCGCTGCACTCGATGCAAAAAGGTTCGTGTGGCCTGACAGCCCAGAGCCCCCAACTCTGATGCAGGGACAGGGAACTCCCTGCTCCTGCCTGAGCCCTGCCAGAGGTGCTAGAACCCTGTCTGGGCTGTTTCCCTTTGCCTCTGTGTCACCAGCATGTGTTTTCTTCCTGCAGACCCTCACCAAGGGAGGAGTGACCTACCGGGATGAGCCCTGGCACAAGGAGTGCTTTGTCTGCACGGGCTGCAAGACCCCCTTGGCTGGGCAGCAGTTCACCTCCCAGGATGACAACCCATACTGCATCAAGTGCTTTGGGAACCTCTATGCCAAGAAGTGCAGTGCGTGCACAAAGCCCATCACAGGTGAGCAGAACAGCTCTCTGAGGAACCCCGTGGTGCAGTGGTTCTGTCCTTTTGTCTGTATCTTTCAAAGTGGTGAACTGTGTCCTGTGGGAGGAATTCCTTCTACCTACAGGTAAAGGCCTCAGAGTAACCCCTCAAACCATGATCTCATGTCTCTAGCTTGCCTTTTTTGATACTGATTGCCATGTCCTGTGAAAAGGTTGTTCACAGACAGGGAAAGCCAAGAGCAGCACGTGGGGCAGGGGAGTCTGGACCTGCTGTACCCTCCTAAAGCAGGGGGAGTAGGGGGTCCTTTTCTGCAGACCCCCTAAGAGAGTCTGGCTTCCTTCCTGCCCTCCCCCACTTGACATTCCCCCTTGCAATTCCCAGGTTCTTGCTGCTGGGAAGGCAGGAGAAGCTGTGAATCAGCTGGTGACTCAGAGGTTGATTCTGGCTGAGGACAGCTCCCAGGCATTCACTTCCCCTCCGGTCCTTTTGAGTTTGTTGCAGTCCTGGGGAGAAGAGGGTCACAGCTCACCAGTCCAACAACTCCCAGCAGAGAAAGGAAGCTCCTGTGGAGCCTCTGCCAGAACCTGGGCCTGAGCTGGTGCAGGGTGGCTCTTCCCAGGATTCAAGTAGTTCTGTCTGCCTTCATCCACTGTGATGGTGCAGCTCCTCTCCCTGCTCCTCCTAGGGAAGAAAATCGTGATTCTGGTACAAATATGTCAACCCCGCAAAGTCTGCTCTGAAGCAATTTTAGTGCTTTTCCCCCACCAGAGTGGAGATTCGCATCTCAGATATATTTGGTCCTGGGGTGTGTTTTGGGTGCCACCACCAGTGCCATGTGTGAAGATGGCACATCCTGACCTGGAGATAAGCAGGTCAGGAAGCTCATATCCCAGTTTCCCCAGAGACTCTGACATTGCCCTCTGTCCCTCCCACAGGCTTTGGTGGTGGCAAATACGTCTCCTTTGAGGACCGTCACTGGCACCACAACTGCTTCAACTGCGCCCGCTGCAGCACCTCGCTGGTGGGGAAAGGCTTCATCCCTGACAACGATGAGATCCTGTGCCGTGACTGCAGCAATGACCTATGAGCCCCCGAGGACACCACGGAGCAGGGGCTTCCTCTACTCTTCAGGGCCTTTGTGCCACATTCCCCAGCAGCATTTCAGGGGCAGAGCACAAGGCACAGGAGATGGGAGCTGACCCCGAACCGTGGTGTCTTCAGAGGGTTCCTGTGCCCCCTCCCTGAAGGCTAGAGTATGCTGTGCTATGGCTCTGTGCAGTCAAAGCTAAATAAAGCTGAAAAAGGAGCTTCAAGACCCCCCATTATTTACTCTTTCTTTTCGCTTCCAGTCTAACCAGGCATGAGCCCAGGCCCCAGCTGAGCAAAGGGCAGGAGTGGCTTCAGCACTGGGATCTGCACGCTGGCAAGCATGTATTCACCCTCTGGCACAGTGCTGACTTCTCTTCTTTCTCCATGTGCTTCCCTCTTGCTAGGTGACACAAGGCAGTGTCTCGGGGCCATGCAGCTTGGCCTGTGTCACAGCTGGCTTTGCACAGCCTTCCTGTAAGCACAGCTGGCCCGGGCATGAAGGGCATGTCTTCTGTTCTGGAGGTTTGGGGACACCAGGCTGGAATGTGGCCAGGAGAAGAGCATACATCCTGACAGATGGGATCCACCTCTGGAATTCTGCAGTACCTCAGTCTTTGCAGGCCAGACCCTTTGCTCAGCACCTCCATGGAGGTGCTCTCTTAGCAGTGAATGAGGAGTTCAAGTCACTTGTATGTATGGGGCATTCTGCCCACCCACACCTACCCTTCCCATCTGCCTGTGCTGTGACCTCCCATGGCTGGGGTGGCTGAGCTGGAGCTGGGAGGGCTGGCCTGCTGATGCTCAGATGCATCTGGCTGAGCCCTAGAGAAGAGCGTGCTGAAGGCTGAGAGCACTCAGGACTTTACTCCTCCATCCCTCTCATGAGGATCCATGGGATGGGCACTGCTATACAGAGCTCAGCTGCCAGCAGCACTGGGAACACCAGAGACCTCCATTAATTCAGGGAAGGGAGCATTGGCCACAGATTGTGCCTGTGATTAGTAGCTGCTGGGAGGGTCTGCAAGAGCACAGGGCTCCAGCATAGAGAGCAGCTGAGGGGGCAGCAGGATGTCCACAATCTGCTCCTCCAGGGCTGCCTGTGTCCCCAGTGGCAGGCAGGGAGTGGTGGCTCCTTCCAGCCACACTCGTCCATCTCTGTGTCCCAAACAAGAAGCAAAGCAAAGATGGCACCTGTTGGGGGGGACTTTGCATTGCCCAGGTCCCAGCTGGCCTTAACTGCAAAACAGGGTGTCTTGAGCCATCCCAGACTCACATGAGGCCTTGAGCAATCCTTACCCAATGGCTGAGCTGGCCCTGGGCTAAGTCCCCTCTCAGTGGGATGCTCATGCCTGCCTTACCTCTACATCCTTCTGCTTCTGTCTTGCTGGGGCACTTTCGCCAGCCCTGCTTTACTGCTTAGTCAGCCATCTGCTTTTCTGAAAACCTGTTCTTGTGGCTTTTTTCCCCCTTTTGTACTCATTCATCATGAATATCCATCATTTTGTACACAACTACAGGATGAAGGGGCAAGCCCCCCACCCGGGCTTCACTTAGGAACAGAAAATGTTATGCATGTTGAAGTGTTATTACTCTGTGTTCAGATCCTTGTTGAATCCTTGTTTGGAAGCTTTGATGACAGCAAATCAGAGTTTGTGTGTTTGCTATTATGAGAGGATCTCGGAGCCATCTCCAGAAGGAATTGTCCTAAACCTCAGCGTCCTCTGTATTTCCTACAGCTTTATACAATAAACTGTTTTCGTGACACTTGTTCTTCTGTGTCTCTTGAACAGCGGGCACAGGACAGAGCACTGAGTTGGTGCTGGGCTCTGTTCAGCCTTGCCTCGCCCCTACTCCCATTCTGGGAGCAGGCAACGTCCACAGTGCTCGTTTCTGCCTTCCCAAACCACAGCCCAGCCCAGCCCTGCCGGCCCTGTGGTTGTGGCAGAGCAACAGCATCTCCCTCCTCCTGCTGGGTGGCTGCAGTGGGTTCCTGGGGCTGGGGGTGTCCATCTGTCCATGCTTGCTGTGTGTACAGGCAGGCAGTTCTGCAGGACACAGGGTGCCAGTCCTGCGTGGGCACCACTCCGTGCTTCCAGGCTGGCTGTGGGACTGTCGGGATCCCCGCGGTACCAAACCAACCTTGTGGTGTAGAGCAGCCTCCCTGCCTGCCTGTGCCACAACACCCTGTCCGTGCCACAACACCCTGCCCATGCCACAACACCCTGGCCATGCCACAACACCCTGGCCATGCCACAACACCCTGCCCGTGCCACAACACCCTGCCCTGCAGTGTGCACTGCCTGCCCGTGCCACAACATTCCAAGGGGACTTGGGTAGATGTTGCTGCAGCCTCCAGCCAGGATATCCGTGGTCCCTCTTGGCAGCCTTCCCTGAAGTGCTGCATGCTCTTTACTCATGTTTATCAGCCGGGGAGCCATTTATTTCCTAACATATGAAACTATTTTCCACAGATCCTTTACATTCACTAACAGCTGCCATGACTTTCTCTCGTGCCTGCTCCAGCCCCCCCAGCACAGTGGCTGAGCTCCTGTGAGTGCTGTTCTGGTGGCAGGATTGGCACAATCCATGGGGTGCCTCTGTCTAGGACCATGGCACTGGTATGTGCACATTCCTGGCTTCTTCAAAGATTCCAGCTCTGGTGGCTGATGGAGTTCTAGCATGATTTTTGTTGCTGTTTCTGCCCTGTGACCTGGGCTGGGCTCTGGTGCTGTGCTGGGCCTTGGAGGGTGAGTGAGCAGCTCCAGCCCAGAGCTTCCCAGCTGAGCCTCTCCTCCAGCAGCAGCAGCACAAGCCGGGTTTTCTGCAGTGCTGTTTCCAGGGATTAACCGCAAAAGGTTTCTCTACAAAGGGCCCCCAGGCTCCTCTTTCAGTCAGCCTCCAGAGCCTCACGTTTTTAGCCAAAAAAGGAAATGACCCAGCTGCACATAGCACTGGAACATCTGGATTTTATCCCTGTCATGAATGGGTCATGGCTGTACATGGCCCAGTGCCTGATTTACAGGAGGGGGAGGGTGATGTCATGCACAAACATCCCCCGAGACTCTGGAGTGCGGGTCTGAAATAGTCATGGAAATTTTATTAAGCACAAGGAGCAATGTGAGGGGGGTCAGGCCAGGGCTGCTGCACTGGTGAGGTGGGAGTGGGGAAGCTGCTGAGGACATGGGGCAGCACTGCAGGGGTAGAAAGAGACCCTGGCATTGACCAAATCTGCCTAAGCTGTGCTCTCCTGCACCACTGTGGATCAGGGACAACAATTGCAGCCCCCATGGGCAGAGCCAGGCTCAAGCCACTGCCTGAGGAGTCTTGTGCAGGGCCAGGAGTTGGACTTGGACGATTCTCATTCTTTGATGGTCTCTTCCAGTTCAGGATACTCTGTGATTCTGTGCATTTCAGCTCCTAGCCCCTAACAGGCTGTGCTGCTGCCCTGAAATGAAAGGGCGTCTCTTTGGCCAGATTTCTCCCATTTTCTCCCACCTCCTCCCATGTGCGCTGCCATTTGTGTGTGAGGAGGAGGGTGGTCATGCAAGGGCTGGTCCTGTCCCACCTGGATCCTCCTGATGCCAGCAGCCCAAAATAAGGAGGCTGGATGGGACATTGCTGGATTTCAACTCCTTCCCTTTCCAGAGATGAAGTTTCATGCAGACAGAAATGGAAGAACACTAAAGTTCAGAATCTTATCTCTGTTTTTATTTTTAGACAGGCATTCATAAAGAAAAGTGATGTACTTTGGAGCAGCCTATAATGCAAGGGAGTAATTAAGGACAACATTCTTACCTGCAGCATCATCCTTTCCTCAGTGAAGGATCATCTTTGTCTGCCATTAATTAAGACAATTTTTTAAATTGCTTTTGGCTTAGAGTAATTTATCGCGCATGGCAGAAAAACACGAATAATTTATTCATATTCAGTGAGTTAAAATGCAATTACAGCTTCGCATTTGGCAGTGTGGGGGTACGATCCGTCCTTGGATTTAGGGTGGATCTAAAGAAGGCAGCTGAAACCCAAGTGGAATGCGGCAGCCGGGGTGTCTGTGGAGGACTCGCAGGGCGATCGTGTGGCTCGGGGACACCCGTGTGTGAAAGCAAAGTCTGCACCGAGACACCGGCCCGGCTCGGCCTCGGCAGCGGAGAGGCCTCGAGGCTGGGGCAGCCCTGTCCCAAACACAAACCTGCACCTGGGGACACCCAGTGCCACCAAACACCGCGCTGGGACACGGCCCCGCGCTGGGACACCGAGCTCGGACACCGCGCTGGGACACCGAGCTCGGACACCGCGCTGGGACCCTGAGCTCAGACACTGAGCTCGAACACTGAGCTCGGTCACCGCGCTGGGACCCTGAGCTCGGACACCGCGCTGGGACTCTGAGCTCGGACTCTGAGCTCGGACACCGCACTCGGACCTGAGCTCGGACACCGCGCTGGGACCCTGAGCTCGGACCTGAGCTCGGACACCGCGCTGGGACCCTGAGCTCGGACACCGCGCTGGGACAGCGAGCTCGGACACCGCGCTGGGACAGCGAGCTCGGACCCTGAGCTCAGACACTGAGCTCGAACACTGAGCTCGGTCACCGCGCTGGGACCCTGAGCTCGGACACCGCGCTCGGCCCCGGCCGGGCCGCAGCCGCCTCCTGCCGGCCGCTCCGGGCAGCGCGCCGCGCCCCGGAACCGGAACGTTCCCGCACACACAGCCGGGCCTCACCGGGGCCTTCCGGCGGTAGTGAGAGCCGTGCGCGGGATGGAGACGATCCTGGAGCAGCAGCGGCGGTACCATGAGGAGCGGGAGCGGCTCATGGACGTGATGGTGAAGGAGATGCTCACCAAGAAGTCCACGGTGCGCCTGGGGCCCTGGGGGTGCGGCAGGCCGCCTCCCGGGCCCGTGCTCACCGCCTCCGCTCTCTCCGCAGCTCCGCGACCAGATCAACTCGGACCACCGCACCCGGGCCATGCAGGACGTGAGTGCTGCGGGGCCGGGGGCGGGAGCGGGGCTGGGCGCGGGCCGGGCCCCCCGGAGCGAACCGGGCCCGTCCCGTAACGGGCCCTGCGGCGCTCGGGCCTCTCTTTTGTTCCGCAGAGGTACATGGAGGTGAGCGGCAACCTGCGGGACCTGTACGACGACAAGGACGGGTGAGTGTGCCCGGGGCCCTCGTGTGCCTGAAGTCAATGTAAATGTCTAAAGAATAACGCGCGGATCGAGATGTGGCCACTACATGCAGGCCAGGAGCCGAGTGCACCTGGGAAACGATTTGGATGGACACGTTCTGTTATCTTGTGTCGTGTCGTGGGGAGGCCCTGGCTGCTCTGGGCTCTTGTCAGGGACTGCAGCGTGTGCAGGGGAATGTGGCCCCGAGCTCCTGAGCCCGGTGGGCTGAGAGGTCCCCCATGACTCGGAGGTTTGCAGTCAGACACTGCAGCATACACCTGGCTGTGTCAGTGTCACCCTTCCCTTCCCTTCCCTTCCCTTCCCTTCCCTTCCCTTCCCTTCATAATCTGTTGCTGTCCATGAACTTGTAGCCTACGCAAGGAAGAGCTCAGTGCCATTTCCGGGCCAAATGAATTTGCAGAGTTTTACAACAGACTGAAGCAAATTAAGGAATTTCACAGGAAGCATCCAAATGAGGTGAGTAGTTACCTGCTCCGTAGGAACGGGTGAGATGTGCTCTGCTGGGTCTTATCCCTACAGAAACAGATTTTGTTTCCCCAGTTTTATTGCATTAACATACGAAAACACTCGGCAGTCACCTGAGCACAGCTGCTCAGGGTCAGGCAGCATGTGAGGGAGCAGTGCAGGACACTCACCCTGTTCCCTGCTAGAACAGGGATGTTCAGCTGTGCTGGGATCAGATCTCACCTTTCTCGTGTTGGCTAAAGCCACACTTTTGCCTTTGTGCAGAAAGAAAAGTGACAAGGCTTTGAGTGTCTTTTCTGTTTGCAATTTCATTATTTGCCACTTAGCGTGATTTTATATTAGTTATTCTGGAACAGGAGCTGAAGTAAATCACTGTGTGGCTTGTATCCGCCCCTGCAGATCTGTGTTCCTATGTCAGTGGAGTTTGAGGAGCTGCTGAAGGCCAGAGACAACCCGAGTGAAGAAGCTCAGAGTAAGTTTGTAGTTTGCTCAAGCTCTGGCATTATTTAATAGGTTGTTTGATCTGGTTTGCACGTTTCAGGGCCTCACCTCCCTTTTACTAAATGAATTCTGAAAATTCTCCTGTCGTCTAAATACTTCTGAGCTGCAGTCTCTGGAATGTTCCCCAGTGAGGCTGCTGGTCCTGAGGAATGTTCTGGTGCTTGCACAGAGAAGCAGTTGGGGCTGCTCAATGAGTGTCAGAGGCATCACAGCACCTTTCTTAAGCATAAATGACTTCACAGCTAATCCTTTTCCAGTTCAAAAACAGTTGTATAATAAGTAGGGAATATTAAGTTCATAATAAAGCTTTTCATGATCTTTCCTGCAGATCTGGTGGAGTTCACAGATGAGGAAGGGTATGGACGATACTTGGATTTGCACGATTGTTACCTCAAGTACATTAACCTGAAATCATCAGAGGTGAGTGGCTGCTGTGTGTGAGCCCTGCACAGGCTGGGGCTTCTCTTTTCTGGGAGCTGGATGTTAATTTGTCTGTGTATGAACTCTGACTCAGACTTTCTGTTCTTAGAAATTGGATTATATCACTTACTTATCCACATTTGACCAACTCTTTGATATTCCCAAGGAGAGAAAAAATGCTGAATACAAGAGGTGAG